GGGGGGGGGGAAGAAGCGGCTCTGCCCACCGTGCGCGCCGATGAACATGCATGCGTGTGCCTCTCTCAATCACCCGGGGTCAGCCCCTGTGGGAGGGTCAAAATCCCACCCCGGCCGATGGCTGGCCGTAGCCATTTTTCAACAATCAGCGCCGAGCACTCTCTCTCTCTCTCTCGCCACCATATCCTCTCCCCCTCCCTCTCTCCCTCTCTCCCCTCCTTCCCCTCCCTTGCTCCCCAACACGCGCCTCGGCCCCTCTCCCTGTGTCCAGCCCTTCTCAACTACTCGGGCTTCCCCTTTCCCCGCTGCCGGCGCGTCCGCGCTCGCCTCCCTCCGGCCCCCTGGCTTGCTGGGCGCGCGATCGCCCCTTTCCTCGGACTCCCCTGCTTTGTCGTGCGTCGGTGGGGCGGGCTATTCTCTCCCAACCTGCTTTCCGTCGCCCTCCCTCCCTCTTTCGACCTTTCTTGGCTGACGTGTGCTTGTTGTCATTCCTCTCCCTTCTTTGCCTCCTCTCTCTCTCTCTCTCTCTGTCTGTCTGTCTCTCCGGTGGGACACAGTTTGTCTTGCCTGATCTTCCTCCTTTCTCTCCACCCGGCCAAAACACAATGATGGACTTCGAGGATGACGACGGGGTCGAGTGCCTCATCTGCATGGAGCTTTATGATATTGATGATCTGCAGTTCCGCCCTTGCGCATGCTCCTTCCGTGTGCGTAGTCCTTTCTCCCTCCGCCTCTCTCTCCTTCTCTCTCCCTCTCTCCCTCCCTCTCTCTCTCTCTCTCCCCCTCTCTCTCCCCCTCTCCCCATGTCTTCCCGGTTTCTGCGCGCTTGTCGCCTGCTGCGCTCCCTCCTCACTCTACCCCCCTTTTCTCGCTTCCCTCTAACCCCCTCTTCCTGCTGCGCTCCTTCATACAGTGCTGCCCCTTCTGCTTCCAGCGAATTCTCGACAGCAACAATTCCAAGTGTGCACTATGTCGCCGGCAGTTGTCGATCAGCTCCGTGCGCAAGGTCCCCCTCTCACCAGAGCGGTAAGTCTTCCTATGTCACCCCTCCCTCTCCCTCCCTCTCCCTCTCTCCCTCCCTCTCTCCCTCCCTCTCCCTCTCCCTCTCCCTCTCCCTGCCTCTCTCCCTCTCTTCCTCTCTCCCTCCCTCTCCCTCCCTCTCCCTGCCTCTCTCCCTCTCTTCCTCTCTCCCTCCCTCTCCCTCCCTCTCCCTGCCTCTCTCCCTCTCTCGATTCGCGCTTGAGGACGGGTCCTCACGCTTCTCCTTCACCTTCCACCCCCACCCGGGCCCCACTCACCCACGCTCATCCCAGACGCGCCTTCCTAGAGAAGAGGCTCGAGGAAGCTCGCGAGGACCGCGCTTATCTGGAAGCCAATCCACCGCCCATCCCCAAGATGCCGCTCTTGCCACCGGCCATGGCCAACCGCAAGGCCACCCCTCCGACCGGCAGCGCGTCCGGCTCTTCGAGTTCCTCCGGCTCCGGCTCTGCCTCAGCGAGTGGGGTCCTGTCGTATAGTTTTGTCTCGGCGTCCGGGGCGGCGGCGGCGGCGGCGGCCGCCTCTTCGTCCGGCCCGCGTGGCGGTGCCAGCGGCGGGGACTTCCCCACTCCGGCAGCCGCTGCCGCCAGTACCAGCAGCAGCCGAGCTCCTCTCATGGATCCGGAATATCGCCGGTATCTGGAGTCCGTGCGCGTCATCGTCCAGCACATTGTGTATGTGGTCGCCAGCTCCAGCGGCCATGGCAACAAGGGGACCTTCCTCTTCAATCGCGATGTCGATGTACGTGCCCCCTCCCTCGCTCCAGCCAGCTCCTCCCGCCTTCGCCCTCCTCCTCCTCCTCCTCCTCCTTGGTCCCTCTTCCGCCGCTGTGCCTCTGTCTTCGCATTCTCACAAGCCACTCGCGCATGGTGTCCTGCTTGTCGGATTGCCCTCGCCCCTTCCCGCGCCTCATAGGCCGTACGCCGGCACTTCCAGCAATACGGCCGGGTTCGGCATGTTCACCGGTCGCAGCCCTCCTCCACCTCCTCCAAGTCCGGTGGCGGGGGCTTCTACGTGCACTTCTACAACCCCTCGGATGCCCGCCAGGCGGTCATCCACGAGGACCAGGCCGAGGTGGATGGTGTCACCCTCAGGCACGTCCCCTTTCCCCCTTTCCCCCATCGGACCATGCATGCCCCCCCCCCCCCCGTGTTGCCTCGTCCTCCGGCCGCCTGACTGACACGCTCCTCCCATCCTCCCTCCCTCCCTCTCCTGCACAGGGTCATGCTGGCTTTGTCGAAGTTTTGCTCGTCATACTTCACGCGCGAATCGACCTCGGCTCCGGCGGTCTGTTCGCGCGGCGAGGAGTGCTACTTCGTGCATGAGGATGTCGACCAGAGCCTCCTCTTCACCGATGAAGAGGTCCAGCAGGGCAAGCACTACTCCCTGTATGGCACTCGGCAGTTGATGAACATGGAGTCCTCCCGCCCGGGGGACAACTTCGTCGAGGTGTCCGGCGGCAACCAGCGCCAGGCTCTGAAGGCGTCCTACGCACGGCCGGCCCCCTGGGCAGACATGTCCGGCGCCAGTACCGGGGCCGCGGCGGCTGCGGCATCCAACAACACAAGCGCCGGGCGCACCGGTGCCGGGGTTGCCGGGGGGCAACACTCGGCCGGCGGTCGGTCGGCCTCGCAGGGGGTCCTGTCCGGCGGGCCAGGTGGCCGGGTATCTGCCACCGGGGCCAAGGCCGCCAATGCCGGCTCATCCATGAGTGCTTGGGATGATCCATCGATTTCGGCCATGGCGGCGGGTTCCTCCTCGTCGTCTGCATCGAGTGGCGCCGCGTCGCCCTGGGCGGCGGCGGCCCGCTCGGGCGCCGCGGTCGCGGCCACCAGTCAGCCGGCTGGCGGTGTCCCGGGGTCCTCCGGTTCCGGGCCCGGTGCCTATGGCGGCTCTTTCGGGCCTGGCGCTGGAGGAATGGGCGCATCGTCGGGCTCGGGGGGCCTGGGCGCCGCGCCCGCTGGCGTGACTGCCAGCTCGGCTGGCTTGGATTCCAGTGACTTCCCGCCCCTGTCGGCCACCGGGCCGGGGGCCGGGCCCGGAGCCGTAGGGGTCGGGGCATCCGGGGTGTCGAACGCCGGTTCCGCCTCCGGCCGGCAGCGTTCTCGTCGTTCGGTGCCCTTGGAATCGATTGCTACGCCCCGCCGGGCCTGGGCACCGATCGCCACCACGCCCGCCACCGCCGGGTCGGCCGCGATCAATGAGCCCGCCACCATGGGGCCCGGCTCCGGCGGGGTGCCAGCACCCGGGGCCACTCCCGCGCCGTGGGGGCTGGCCACTCCGGCCCCGGCCCCGGCCCCGGCCCCGGCTCCGGCCCCGGCCCCGGCGCCAGTGCGCCGTGAGACCAAGCGCGAGGCCGTGGTCATCCACCTGGGTGCTGGTGGATCGGCCGAGGTGAAGAAGTCCACCCTGGTGACGGATGCCCAGAAGCGGGCGGCGGCGGCGGCGGCGGCGGCGTCTTCCTCCACCGCGGCGACAGCCTCGCCTGAGGAACCGGCCGCCCGTCGGTCCCCGACTCCGCCGGCCACCGGTGACTCGCCGACCCCGGCGCCAGTGGCGGTGGAGCCTGCCTCGGCCCCCAGCGCGCGGCCCCTGTCGGCCAAGCAGCTCCGTGCGGCGGCACAGGCTTCCAAGGCTGCGGCGGCGGCTGCCGTCGCGGCCGCCACCGCCGCCGCCACCGAGCCGGACACCTCGGCCTCGGATCCCTCCACGCCGAGTCTGTCTCGAGGTGGCACCCCTTCGCCGGCGATGGCCGCCGATCCGGCGGCCCCCTCGGCCTCTACCCCGTCGACATCGTCGGCCTCCGCGGCTGGGAGTCCGATCCTGGCCGATGGATCGGCCTCCGGCCTGGCGACCGAGGCGATGGGCAGCCGGCCGGGGTCGGCCGCGGCCACTGCGGCCGTCGCCGCGGCCGTCGCCGCCGGCGCCATGTTCACCCCGACCCCGATGGATATGGATCACTTCTTGTCCGAGTTCGGTCGCGACGTGTTGGATTCCTTCCACCGGGCGTCTTTCGGTTTGGCCCCGCCGGCGGCGGTCGCTGCCACCATGGCCTCCGGTCCGACGGTGGCCGGGGCCCCGGCCCCAAGCCCCTCGGGCGCCAGTGCACCGGCCTCGGTCGGACCGCCGGGCGCCGCGGCTCCGACTCCGGGGGGCAGCTCCTCGCGCTCACAGCTGCTGGCCGGCTTGTTCCAGCCGCCGGCCGGCCAGCGCCCGGGCGCGGTGCGCCCTCCGCCCCCGGCCGGCGAGCTGGCCAAGCCCCCGGCTGGGGGGTCTGTTTTCGGCCTGTCCGATGCCCCTCCCGGGGGGGTTCCCATGCCGGGGCCGGCCGCGGGGCCGGGCTTCAGCCCGCTGGGCCGGCCGAAGGTCATGCTGGCCACCCACGCGGGCAATTCGCCGCAGCTCCTGCCGGCCGGTCTCGGCCATGCTCACCCCCACCATCCGTATGGCCATCACCTGTATGGCGGCCAGATGTACCCCGGCGGGGGCCCTTTCATGCCGATGATGTCCGGGGCTGTTCGGCCGCCTCCCATGGGGTCGGCCGCCGGCGGGGCTCCTGGGCCCGGTGGCGTGTCGGCCCCCCTGCGTCCGATGCCCGGCGGTGCCGAGGTGCATCAGCAGTTCCTGTGTGCCAAGTTCCCGGACTTGGAATTCGACTTCGATTCAGATGATGTTGATGCGGCGCCGGCGGCGGCGCTCCCGATGCCAGCTGTGCCCGGAGCCCAGTGGGGCCCCCCGACAGCCGGCGGGCTTGCTGCCCCGCCTCTGGCCGGTCCGGCTCCCGGTGGGTCCCCCCCCGCCGGCGGCGAGGGTGTGGTCGATCCCGAGGCCGGCCCGGTGATGTCTGCCCCGGTGGGCTTCCAGCCGCTGGGCCCGGGCCCGGGCTCGTCGTCAGTTGGTGCTGCGGCTGCCGCGGCGGCGGCGGCCGCCAGTGCCATGGCCATGTCCGGCGCCGGCCGCGGCCGGCCCCCGCCGATGGGGGCCTTTGGTCCGACGCCCAGTCTGCCTGTTTCGGTTCCTGTGCCGGCCCCGGCCGCTGGTGCCTCGGTTGTGCCTGTGTCCATGGGCGGGCCGCCGGCCCGGCCGCCGCCGCCGCCGCCGCCGCCGGCCGGTGCCGTGGTCCAGCCCCCGGCCGCCGACCGGCCCTCGGTCGATGTTGCGCAGCATGCGCGTGTGCTGGCCGCCATGTCGGCGGCCGATGTGGCCCAGATGTTCAGCCCTTCCGCGCTCCCTGGTATGTGCACGCTCGTCTTGCCTGCTGGCCTTTGGCCTGGCTCCTCCATCGTCCTTCGCCCCCCCCCCCCCCTGCGGTCTTTCTTTTTCCTTTCCTCCTCCGGCCGCGCTTCCCTCAGCCCTTGTCCAAGGTGACTGGACCCCCCCCCCCCCCCCGGCCGGTGATTTGGCCTTCACTGACACTCTTTGCTTGTGCCTTCAGCCACCGGCCTGGGTGCTCTGCTGCCGCCGGGCGGCGCCGGGGGCGCGACCCTGGCCACCCATTCGCTGACCGGGGATTTCCCCCTCCCTGGCACCCTGGCCGACCAAAAGCAGTCGCTCATTTCAAGCCCCATCCATGCGAAGCTGATCGCCGGGCCCGGGTCCATCTATCCCTACTTCAAGTACTTCTCCGAGCTGTACTTCACCAATCCGGAGAATGAGCTACGCAATCCGAACAACCTGCGGCTGCGGCTGCTGAAGTACGGCCTCACGGCCGAGGAGATCATGGCCATCTTCATGGAGGGGCCGCTGCATGGGTGCGTGCGCTTCGGCCTTCAGTCGATCGTGCGTGACATGATTCCCGAGTATCTCGGGGAGCTGAACCGGCACAATGCCAGCGGCTATGCGCCGATCCACATCGTGGCCGGCATGTCGCCGGTGGCCGCAACGGCGGCCGCAACTTCCACCACCACGGCGGCGGCGGCAGCGGCGGCGGCGGCGGCGGCCGTGGCAGCGGCGGCGGCCGTCACCACTGCCCCCCCCGCCGAGGACAATGCCGAGAGTGTCACCACCATGGCTGCCGAGGCGGCCGACCCGGCGGTCGTGGACTTCCGCAGTCTCGGCCTGGTGATGACCCCGAACACGGATCGGCCCTTCGCCCCGGTGAGCAAGCATACCGACTTTGATGGGTCGGTGGCCACGAGCGCCGGGCCGGGCAGCGCCTTCGATGACACCTACAAGTCCACCTTCCTGCTGGCTTTCCTGCTGAAGTGCGATGCCGAAGTGGACCTGCCGGTTGTGCCGACCGGCGAGACGGCCCTGCACCTGGCCGTCCGGGCACAGCACTTCACCCATGTGTGTGTCTTGCTGGAGGCCCAGGCCAGCGTCCATGCACGCAGCGCCGGCCCCGAGGGGAAGACCCCGCTGGAGCTGGCTCGCGAGCTGGCCGCCGCTCCCGGCGCCTCGGCCCTCGCCCAGGACATTCTCGGCGCCATTTCCTTCCACGAGGCGCAGCTTGAGGCCGGGGCGCGTCGCCGGGCGGCGGGCATCATCGACCCGTCGGCCGGAGCCGGCCGGGCTTCGGGGTCGTCATCGTCCATGTCGGGCAGCAGCGATTCCGGCCTGCCTTCCTCCGACTCGGACTCGCGCGGGTCCTCACCTTCGCCCTCTTCGAGTGCTGCCTTCTACTTCCCACGGGAGGGCGGCCCTGCGAACTCGCTGACCGTCGACCAAATTCGCCTTCTGTCCGAGCAACTGCTGGCCATGAGTTCCGACCATGAGTCGGAGGATGATCTGGATGAGTCGGAGATGGCTGCCACTTCGGTTGGCGGTGGCTCGGGCCCCGGGCGCCGGCTCTTCCATCCGGACGCGGCGGTGGTCACCTCCGACGAGGAGCCGGAGGAGGGGCCCCTGTACGACGAGTCCGAAGATGCGGCCACCATTCGCCGGGCCTTCTTCCGGTCGGTGGCTGCCCATCTAGATGGTGATGGGGCAGATGGCGATGCGGATGACCTGCCTGGCGGGGATGCCGATGTCGGGGCCGGCCACTCTTCGGGTGCCGATGATGTGCAGGACCCCGGCCACCTGCGCTTCCCGCCGCAGTATGGCCATTCGGGCCCCGGCTCCGGCGACTTCCCTGTGGCTGGGGTTGATGGGCCCTTCTCCTTCGGGGCTGGCAGTGCCGCCGCCGCCGCGGCCGAGGACCTCAGCGGTGTGACCACCGACGAGGCGGGCCCCAGCGATGGGGGCCACTTGACTGAGGCTGCTACGGCGGCTGCGGCGGCTGCGGCTGCAGCTGCGGCGGCGGCTGCGGCGGCTGCCGCCGTGTCGGCCACTCCCCCCGCCACGGATGCCTCGTCCAATCGGGTGCGCTTGCTCTTCGACAGTTTCCCGTCCGGTCTCGGGAAGGGCGTCCCGGCCCCCGTTCCCACGGTGGAGGCGCCCCCTGCACCGGTGGAGTCTACGGCGGCCGAGCCTGTGCCCGGTGCCGGGTCGGCCCGCGCCACCAGCAAGGTTCCGGCGGTGGTCTTGCACAAGCCCGCCGTGGCGACGGCCGGCCCCGCGGCGGCCCCCGCCTCGGGCACGACCGCCCCGGCGGTGAGCCTGCCTCGCGTGACACCGACCTTCTCCCTGGCCAGCGTGCTCGGCGGCGGTCGCCCCGGCGCCCCGGCCCCCACCGATGCCTCCCCCATGGCGGCGGACTTCCACCCTGCGGCATCGGCGTCGGCGTCAGCGTCGGCGTCGACCGGCTTGTCGGGTGCCCCGGTCGCCCTGGCCAACTCGGAGGCCGATCGCATGGCCACCGGATCCTCGTCGGCCCTCGGCCAGGTGACTTCCACTGCGCCGTCCGCCGGCGCCGGGGTAGCCACTCCCGGCCCTCCGGCTCTGGTGCAGCTGTCATCCGCCGCCACTCCAGCGGCGGTGACCATTGCCTCGACGGCCGGGGCCGGGGCGTCGCTCACCCCCCCGGGGGGGGCGCAAATCGACTCGTCGGCGCCGTTGGCCGTCAGCCCGGGTGCCGCCGCGGCCGCCCCGATCAGTCTCCCGGCCACGGTGTCGGCGTCCCCCTTCGGCAAGGGGCATCTTGGTGGTCGCCACTCGGCTTCGGCCTCGACGGCTTCGACCCCCGGCAAGAGCGGCCTCCTGGCCAATCTCCTTTCCGGCCCGGCTCCCTCGCCGTCGCCATCCGCAAGTGTGGCCAAGCCCTCTTCGGCCACGGTGACCGGCGATGCGGCTGGCGAATTGCATATTCACAGCTCGCTCGGCGGCGGGTCGGGCACGGGGCTTTCCACTTCGGGCAGCCTGCCGCCGATGCCCGCGGCGCCGGTGACGGCCACCAACACCGGCGCCGGGTCCACCTCCAGCAACCGGCTGTTGAACCACCTGTTTAGTGCTCGGACGCCGAGCATCCCGTTGCCGCCGCTGGCCGGTTCGGCGGCGGACCCGGCAAGCGCCGGCAAGCAGGCGAACTCCTTCCTGTTCCGGGTGCCGCCTGCCGCGACAAGCTCCACCGCCACCTCCCTGCCGTCTTCCTCCTCTTCCTCCTCGTCCTCGCTGGCGGCGGTGATCACCTCGGCCCCGGCCAATGCCGGGGGCAGTGCAGCCGGCGCGGCGGCCGTGGCTGACTCCCCTGCCACCGGCGCCCCTTCCGCCCCTGCCGTGGCCTCCGGCGCTGCGTCCTCTTCGGTGGGCGACTCGCTGCCCGCGGTGAGTGCGGATGTCGGGTCCCAGTTCCAGCATGCTGATGAGGCGGCCTCGGCTCCGGGGACCGGTGGCGGTGGTGATGTTGATCCCTTGGAGGTGGCGGCCGCCGCGCATCGGGCCCAGCTGCACGCGGCTGGCGGTGTGTCTCATCACCCCCATCCTCACCACCACCACCACCACCACCACCACCACCACATTCACCATGGCGGCCATCATGGCCAGCACCGGTTCCTTGGTCACCATATGCCTTTGCCGCCGGGTCAGGCGTCTCAGGCCGGTGGTGGGGTTTCTGCCCCTCCGGCGACGACGGGGCCCTTCCACCCTCATGGCCATCACCATGGGCATCCTCATCATCCTCATCATGGTCATCACGGTCACCATGGGCATCATGGGCATCATGCTCACCATTCCCATCACCACCATCATGCCGGCCAGCAGTCCCCAGCGGCCCAGCAGGCAGAGCCGTCGGCTGGCCAGCCGCAGCTGGCCGGCCAGTCGCTCGGTAATGCCCAGGCCGGCCAGCAGTCCGGTCTCCTGCAGCACTTCTTCCATCATATTCCCGTGCAGACGCTGGGCGTCATGCCGGTGGGTGGTTTCCCGGCTGGGGCCGGGCGTGGCCGTGGCCGTGGCACTCCGCTGCCGGCCGGGGCCAATGGGTCGCCGGTTCCCGGGGCCCCGGCGTCCCTCCCCCCGCTGCCGGTCCTTCACCCGGCGGCCGGGGCCACGGCCACCGCTGGAGCCGGCGTTGGCCGCGGCAATGCTGCGGTTGTTCTCCCCGCGCAGCGCTATATGGCCACCGCCGCCGCCGCCCGGGGCGATGCCGATGACGCCTCCCATCAGTAATGGACGTTCGTTTGGAGATGGGCTCTCTCTCTCTCTCTCCCCCCCCTCCCCCCTCCCCATCGATCTCCTGTCCTGGTTTAGTACCATGTGTCCTTCTGTTCGATTTATATTTCTTCCTTGTTACGAGCACTTGTTCCTTTTGCATTTGGCTTGGCTTCTGGCCCCGTGCGTGCATACCTCCTTCTCCGTTGTTCCCAGATCCCCCCCCCCCCCATACATGTTGGAGTCGGCGGATAGTAATGGCAGCACGCTCCCTTTCCTGTTCTCTCTCTCTCTCTCTCCCCCTCCCCCTCCCCCCATCCTTCGCGCCACCTGCGAGCCAGCACGTGCCTGCTCCCCCAATCCTCAAATACAATTGTCCTTTTTTCACGGAGCTCTCTCTTTCACAAACCGCCGATGTGCGGCCTTTTTGCGCGATCCCTGTCGGGCTCTCGGGATCGCTCCTTGGCCCTCTCTCTCTCTCCCCCCCC